TTGGTTCCTGCCTGCCATGTCCATCCATCCCCATTGGTGCGTCATTTGTCTTCTTTATCACCCTAATCAACCAGCAGTCTGTTTACCTGTACTTCCCATACATGAGGCCGCTTACCGTCCTTTACATATTACCGCGCTACGGACTCGCCGATGCTACCGCCGCTTAGCGGATTCCGAGTTCTTACGGATTCTGATAAATAGTTGCGTCGTATTCTACCAATATCACTTCCCTTTTGCTCCCTTGGATTTGTATCTAAGTCTAAGTGATCAAGAAAGTCCCCTTAGTCTTCCGCGTCGCAACGGACATCTTCCCGCACCTCGGACCACTTCCGGTAGCTCGTTACCCGAGACCTTGAAACCTTGACACCTCGAGACCTTGACACCTTGACACCTTGATCATCGTACCGCTAGATATCCGTCCTACACGAACCATCCTCCGTCCGGACACTCCCTTCCTTAGACCGGACTTCACCCGTGTGTCCGCCGCACAGATCTTAAGCCCGCCGGATTGATTCCTTCGCATTTATTGCGAAGACTTCCTTCAGTAGCAATCCCCTTGGGACGAGCTATTATACTCGCACTCATATGGATCGGTAGTCTACTCTAACAGGCTACATGGAATCACTTTCGCTCAGCGATCCTACCATGATTAGATCAGGATTCAGTAGTACTACTTTACAGGTAAAGCTATTAAGGTCCGACCTACATGTCCAACCTACTCCGGTGATGATTAACGACTACTCGTATCACAATAGTAAGTCACTGAATAACGACTCAGCAAGGTCAGTTCACTCCACTTGAAACTTCAATATTGAATTGCGGATTAAGGTCCATCCGATAACGCTCCACTTGCGCTGCACTGGCAGTGATGCTTTAGCAGGTGTGTGCACATTGTCTCACAATGAGTAGATGTGCTGATTATCATCCATGCCATGCACTGCACTTACAGCAGTTCCTTTTATCTACAGCGTGTTCTCAGCACATGCATGGGCCATCGACATTTGAATGGAGGCTCGTAATCTATACGGGTCCGACGAACCAATGGAGGCTCTTAACTCAATACAGGTCCAACCACAAATCGAAGCATCCGAAGCTCATCCTCTTTTTTCTCTCCACCACACCAAACGACACCGCAAACGACACCGTTGGCTCGCTATGGCCCCCCCAACTAAATATAAAACCGATGCGGCTAAGCTTCAGGCTATGAGAGCCAAGCGTTCCCGGTACTACACTAAGTAAGTATCGTCTATTTCGTTCAGCCTACGATGCCCTGATTACAGATGCAGGTTGCCGTGAGGAGATCCTTGCAAAAAGAAGAGAGAAATACCACCTCAACAAAACCGTCGAAAGGACGATGACAGCAGCGACAACAAGGGTGGGCGGGGTGACAACTTGGATAAGGGCAACGATGGCAGTGACGAGTGTGCGAGCGATGACGATGAATCAATGTACGTGCTGAATATTATTATTGTCGCTGTGTTTTTAATATAAATATCAGAGGGGACATTAGATGAATGTATTGCCGTGGTGAAGTATGCTAAAGACGACTTCATGGCGCACATCAAATCTCCGCAAATATTCACCTTGGGCGTCCTTTGCCGAATACACGAAGTCTATCCCAGATGCTCCCGGAACTCACGGGGATAGAGAGATTCTCAAGCGCGCGATGTCGAGCATCGAAGACTTCCTTGACAGGGCTAGTTGAGGACAAGACGGTATCCTCCAATTGTGTGGGGTTTTGTGACGAGTGGCGTGCCGCAGAACAAGTGTGCAGGAGCATGAGGGACACCATTGCTATGGTGGAAGATATTTATTGTCATGCGCTCAGCGATGGAGATGCTGAGTTAGCCGTAGTTCATTTACTCAAGGGATTCTTGTACCAGAACTACAACGAATTTTGAATAGGCTCGCGAGGCTTGCGCACTAATGTCACTTTGAATTGCATATTTCTTATTGAGATTCACGCTGCGCTACTATGTAAAAGCTTCAGGTATATGTTACGTCAAACACCTCCGTTTCGCCGCGGCCAATGGCCTCTTTCATCAGCTGAATTCCTTCGGCAACTGAGCGGACCTTCGAAAAAGACGCCCTGCTCACGCCAATGACATGGGACGAGGTCTGCTGCCTGTTGGCGGATCACAAATCAGCTGCCCGTTAATCTAAATAACGCGAATCACTTACAAGTAGAGAATACGCCAATACGGCGGCCACGGGTCACCCAGTAGAAGGGACCCGTAGCGTCAGCCGCTGGCACATCATAGTTCACAACAGGAGTCAACGCTGGCAACGCTGGGATGAGTGGAGCTGATGTCGAAGTGGTCGAAGGAGTCAATGCTGGGACGAGTGGAGTTGATGCTGAAGTGGTCGAAACAGCACTGATAGCAGAAACGGCGGCGACCAGCGTGTTCTGGACCGCATCATGGATCTTGGACGTCACGTCAGACACCTCCTGCCCAGTGATATTCATCTGGGCCAAGAGCGCAATGAGACTATCTGTGAACATTAGTAAGAAGCAGAGCGTGCTTAGGAATATCGTTGCTTACCAGTGCCATTGTCACCAGTATCGTCAGTGATGGGCGCCGCAGGCAGGTCATCTATCCTGCTAGTAAGATCACCAGTACCGTCAGTGATGGGTGCCGCAGAGAGGTCATCTATCCTGCTAGTAAGTACCAGAGCGCGCTCGGAGATATCGCTGCTTACCAGTGCCATTACCATCATTACCATCAACGACGAGCGCCGCAGGCACGGCAGCTATTATCGTGCTGGGGGAGATCATCATTGGGTGTAGTAAGTATGGGAGGAGAATTGATGTTGAAAAGGGAACTGACCTCGGGCTTTTTGTACAGGGAAAGCCATCCATATTGGGTGATGCAGTAGCCTTGGCCGCTGCAGTCGTAGTTCTTGCATTGCACTGGCAGTGAGTAAGTGAGTAGTTCGATGAGTTCGACTTCGATGAGTTGCAAGCTTCTGTCACGCTAACCTGTCACATTGTGTCACACCTTCTCATGCACAAGCCCATTGCCTGAGCCCATTGCCTGAGCGATGTTACCTGCTACAAATTCTTCAAATGCAGGCTCCACCCGAATTGATGGTGTCACCGAGCGTGTCGCCCCAACCAGTCATCAAACTATCCAATGTGCCCCTTCATGTTTCACTTTTCGACAAGTCAACAATCGAAAACGACCCAAGCTCAATCACTATGTACCGCCTACCTCACAGTTGCAAGAGACGGTCCATACCACCTTCAGGTTTTCAGGACGTCGAGATGGGAATATGCAGGTGTCTGCTGCCCATCTGATTTGTCGCCCGTCACCTTCGTCCACACACCAGTCTTCCCAATTTGCAGGGCCTGAGGATGGAAGCACCGAGTTTGATTTTGCGATGTTTGATGAACCTTCAATGGATGCTGGCGAAGACAGGACAATGACTCAAAGTCAGAAAAGCAAGCGCCCAGCTGGTGTGAGTTATTTTATTTCTGTCACATCATTCCTTACTCACTGTCTTCGTCAGGACAATCCTCTGCTTGTTTGGAAAGACGAACGTGATACATATCTCTCGGAGATTATTCAGTTGGACGGACACGGTGAAAATGCAAGGGACTCGTGTGCAGGCTGTTGCACCAATCCTGCAGAATTCCGATGTCAGGATTGCGATGACATGCAACTGTACTGTGGTACATGCTCACTGGCAAATCATGCCCGGTCTCCAACCCATCGCATACAGGTATGTGATCTCTTATGAGAAACATGAAATATATTGATTGTTTTGCAGCAATGGAATGGTATATTCTTCGAGAGCTCTTCCTTGAAGACGCTAGGCCTTCGAGTGCAACTCGGGCATCCCATCGGTCAATCATGCATCCTCCCGCAGCCGGCGTTTAACGACGACTTTGTGCTTATAGGCACGAACGGAATACACGAACTAGGACTGGACTTTTGTGGTTGCGAGACATCCGAGACACATGTTAAACAACTCCTTCGTCACGGATGGTTCCCTTCCACGCCAACTAAACCTAGGACAGCGGCAACATTTCGACTTCTGCATTACTACCAAATCTTATCCTTCGAGTCGAAGGCATCAGCCTATGAATTCTACCATTCTCTTGTTCGACTCACGGATAATACAGGGATGATGAAACGCATGCCGGTACGCTAATATCTACATTTGTTCCTTCAGTCTCTTACTGTCTACCTTAGGACCGCTATGAAGGATTCATGCGGATGGTGCGTAAGTGGCGGCATCTCACAATGTTGAAACGTTTCGGACGTGGCCACGATCCCAGTGGCGTAGATGGTACATCGCAGGGCGAATGCGCGGTGCTATGTCCAGCATGCCCGCAGCCAGGGAAGAATTTACCTGAGGGTTGGCAAAATGCTTCGAAAGCAAAACGGTGCATTGTACCACAGATATTGATTCACTAGGCTGATGTCTTTAGGTGGTTGTATGCAGTATTTTTAGCTATTGACGCGAACTTTCGATTGAAAAGGCGGAACGTATCGAGCGATCACGCAGACCCAAGTCTTTCGAGTGGCTGGTCATATTTTGTCGAGGAGAAAGAGTACAAGGCCTTCCTGGCCGAACATCTCACTGAGGCGCAGGAGGTATGTGACCATTTGGTTTAATCAATTGACGTGTACTCACACTATCTTACAGAAAAGTACATGTTCGAGCCACAGCGCTGTCAACATGGCAGATACAAAGCAGGCACAAGGGCTTGCTGCTACTGGCGTCGGTACAGTAGACTGTGCCCGTCATAATTTTAAACGGCCAAATGGAGTCGGTGATCTGCAAAAGGGCGAGAAGTAAGTCATGGTCTTGTTGTGTTTGTATTTACTATGTCTTATCGTGCTTGACAGGTACATCAATATGGATTATTTATTTTTCTCGACTTTGTGTGGTACGCAGCTCGAAATGCTCAACGTGTCGTACGATATTGCGTGCCAATGGCACAAAAACCTCTGGGCCCGCATGAAGTCCTTTCCTCGATCCCATGCCTTGGACCATCTCACCAAGTATATACGCTTCTTCGTGCCAAAGTTCCACCTCCCCACACATGTTGCAAAATGTCAGACCGTCTTCTCATTCAATTTCACGTGTTATGTCGGCCGGACGGATGGTGAAGCCCCGGAGAGGGGCTGGTCGAATATCAACCCTGTGGCATCAAGTACGAAAGCGATGGGTCCTGGTTGTCGTCGTGACACGCTGGACGACCATTTTGGCGATTGGAATTGGAAAAAGACCGTCGGGTTGGGCGCGTCTCTCCTGTACAAGATGAAGGATGCTCTAGCTGAGAAGGCTGCGCATGCACTCGCATTTGAGGAATTTGACGCTGTCATCACTCCCGAGCATCGCTCTGCATGGTTAGAAGAAATGCAAGCTTGGGAAGATAATCCGAACGACACATCGATCTCTAATCCGCTCGAGGCCAAAGCCATGGGTGAGTATTTTCCGCCACCAAAGTGACCTTGGACTAATGATTTTGTCTAGCTATAACGCAAGCAGGAGTAAGGCTAAAGCTCGCGGAGCTGGAGGCCGAGGACCTTCAGCGAGGTATAGACTGCTCGTTGCACCCACAAATCTCGCCTAGTGTGCTTATTGCTTCAGGCATAGACCTGGAGCAGGAACAGTGAGCATTTGCCCTTTGACGGCCACAAACAAGCTGACATACTTTCGAAGGCATCGTCTGGCCAATATCGCCGAGTCGATGGGTCAACATGCTACCGACACGCAGAAAGGCAGTCTCACGCAGATGCGGAACTCGCTTCATCGTAGGATCGATATGTGGCGACGCACACAGGTCCTTTACCTCCCGGCCGTTCAAGGCCTTATTGATCAGGCAGCCACGCGTGAAGGCCACGAGAACGCCGAATGTATACACCTCTGGCTCCCTTCAGAACTGAAAACCAAGCCGTGCGATCCACGCCTACAAGAGGACGAATGGGAATTGCGCTACGCGCAGGCTCACGATGCGCTAGAAGAATTGCGGCAGTGTCTACGCATTCACTGCTCCTTACTGACATTCAAAAGGGAATGGGTGCGTGGTCAAGGCACGAATACCCGTGCTCAGAATGCCCTTGCCCACATCCACCGAAGGCATACGGCCTGCGTGAAACGTTATCGGTCAGCATGGATGGCGCTCAAGAGCCTAGCTACAATCATGAAGAAGACCGGTTGGCAGGGAAGGTTGCAGGAATTGGCCGACACTCATGTCAAGCCCCTCGTGGACCCATATGCTACTGGCGAAGGGAGACGTCATGTATCGTGGATCTGGATGATGGATGGCGTTGACCATGGCAATGAAGGTGACAATGATGGTAAGCACTTGTTGTGGTCTATATTTTGCGAACTAACATACTATAAGGTGTACAAATCGAGTGGTGCAAAACCCGTGCGAGGGCACTGCGGTGGTCGGAAGAGGTCGAATTACTCACGGAAGAGATGCGCAGGGTGCTGGAATTTTTTACCTGGCAGCAAGCGCGGTGGGAAGAACAGGGAAAGGCATGCGTTGGGGAGTGTGCCGCTGACATTGAAGGTTTGCGAGCTTATGCTGCCCGACAGGCTAACATCCGTCGCAGGCTTGCAGACCATTTTCGGGTGCTGTGGGCACCCTTTCTTTCACTGGAAGGTCCCATTGACCCGCCACCTCAGTTGGCCGAACATTCGTTACTGGACCTCATGATTCCCGACATTCTCTAACCTACTTCTGCGCTGTACCTGATCGATGTTCCTAGCTAGTAGTGTACCTGATATTCAATCCATCACCGGCTGTTATTTGACATTCGAAGTGAATTAAGTTGCCGAAGACTCGACTGGAAAATTGACCGAAATACAAATGACCGAGCTGCAAAGTAATTGACCGAGCTATATATACTATAGGACTGCTAACTAGCATGTTTTAATGCATCACAAGAAGGCTAATTAGCATAGTTGATGCATCACCTCTGACTGGTAGTTAGCAGACTTGATGCATCATAGCTACAGGGACTGGTGGGAAAGAGTGGCGTCCACGGGCACCACTGTTCTCGCCCAGGATAGTCTGCATGTCGTCGTACCGAGGCCATCCTTTGTTGCGAAGAAGGCGTAGTGTAGCTCGTGACTACTTTGATGTCAGTCCATGTCCCAACACGCTGTGCCATGATGACATACCTTTGGTGCAACATATGCATCCCAGACGCTGGCGGCAGCGACGCCCTCGATTCCAGCTCCTCGTATGTTGTCCCAGTGAAAACCAGACACATTGCGGTAGATCTCAATTTGATTGAAGGTTTTTTTGAGCTAATATATGGTCAACCCATGATCAATCAAGATAAGATCATATACGCACCAAGGTCCACTTTGTCTTTGCCATCTTGCCCGTCTTTTGTGGGCCTATAGTCTGAATCACCTCGTTAGCGTTGATAGCAGCTGCTGCACTGTTGAAGATAGGCATCGGGAAGTTTCCACCATCACCGCCTGCTGCCTGGTTCTCGATCAGGTGTTGAAGTAGGACATCCACCTCCGATTCTTGCCAATGTGCCTTTGTGCTGTTGGTAGGTTGTGGTGTGTGGGTCTCTGGTTGAGCCATGAGTACAGTTGCGAAGTTTGCACAGATGGCGGTGAGGGCAACAACACTAGTACAAATTCTTTGGCGACGATGACAATCAATAAAGTAGGGAGAATTCATGGTACAAGTAGGAGAAGTAAAGTTTGAAGTCCGACAACTGGGACGCTTCGTGCCGAGAACCTCTCACCTGACATTTGCCAAATGTCGGCCAACATCCTGTTGCCGAACTGGCTCTTAACGGGGTGACGGAAAGACTCATTCAAATTTCACTCAAGTTTCCCATGGGATTTTAGTAAGCAAGCAAACAACCTCTGCTCTCCGCCATGACAAATTGAACACTAAGTCTGGAATGGGGAAACAGAGGAACCCCCGAGAATGCCTATAGAGCCTATGCTGGCAGCACAAATTCGACTGCGGTGGCAGTTGGCTATTATTGGCTGTTCAACGTTTAACTTTCACCCCAGGTTATTACCAGTATGGTTCGGAATCTGGACATGTTTGATGACGAGGATGGGTTTTCGCGAACTTGGTGGGCTGTTCCATCGCCTGATTCGTCTTGCATATGACTGACCATTGCACAAAGTTGGCGAAAATAGACGAAGATTTATTCCTCGATATTGGCAGGACATGGTATTGAATATTGGGTACCTTGAGCAAGATCTGAAGCCATCCAGACTCCACGCAGCAGGACACATGCAAAGTTTCAAGTCCGTAACTTGTATACAATTCTCCTCTCAAGATCTTACCGCTGGCATTTGGAAGGAGTCGCTCATTATTTGATGAGGACTTTATAAACAGCTGCAGTGAAACCGGCCGGGTCTTTGACGCTTTTCATGACTTTTTCTCGCTACGTTTGCATCCTGGCGCTTGTCACAGGATGCTTCCTCCCTTCTGGTTTCCTGGCTCTCTGGCCCATCCCAACTACTCACGAGACTGGGATGACCGCTCTCAAAATCTGCCCTGCATTCTCTTGCGACGTGCAGATTGAAGACGCCCCGGCCGATCTACGTGACGCGGGCGCCCAATCGCAGTACTATCACATTTCTTCAGAGGCTACGAAGCTCCTGGGTTACCGTAGCGAGGAGTACGCACTGACGATTCCAGCAGACGGCTCGGCTGCTACTTTGACAGCGAACTCGTCGTTGGGTCTTTCCGAAGGACTGACTACTTTCAATCAGCTTTTCTACTACTATGGAGATGTACCTTACACTTTACTCGCCCCAATTGCTATCACGGACAGTCCTGCGTATGTGAGCAATTATCACACACTCTTGATGCCAACTGCGTGATCCCATGTGCATAGCCTTTCCGAGGATTGGCGCTAGACACTCCGAGGAACTACTACCCCGTCATCGATATTCTGCGAACTTGGGACGCGATGAACTGGGTTAAGGTGGGCGTTTTCTTGATGTGCTATCTTCCGATCCCTAACCAGCTAGGTACGTCAACATTTTCCACTGGCATATCACAGACACCGAGAGTGTCTCACTTGAAGTTGCACAGTACCCCGAGCTTGCGATCAACGGTGCATACTCTCCTCAAGAAGTTTACACAGAGAGTGATGTCCAATACATCGTACAGCACGCTGCTGCAGCACGTATTTCTTTCTACCACGATACTTTGTTAGCTGATGGTGTTCCCACATAGAAGCATCGATATAATGATGGCCAGTACCTATCAGTCAATTTTGCAAAGAAACCCTCAATATTCTACCAGGAAATCGACGCACCCGGCCACACCGGCATCATTGCGGCCACTTGCCCCGAATATATTGCTTGCCTTGACGGCGAGCTTGGTTTCGCGCTTCCCAAGGTCATGAACTTTATTGCTTCCTTGGTCAGCGATGTTGCAAAGACGCTACCTTCGAACTATTCCAGCACCGGCGGCGATGAGGTGAACGCGACCTGCTGCAGCAACGACTACCCCACACAGCAGCAGCTCAACAGCACCGGCATGACACTAAACGGTGCTTTGGACGCGTTTACGCGGACTACTCATGGCGCACTGATTGCCGAGGTTAAGACGCCGGTCGTATGGGAAGGCGTGCCCTGGTTCTCCTTTTGAATAGTGGTTCTGAATGGAGACGGACATTCAGACATGGTCCTCAACTGGAACATTACGCTCTCAAATGAGGCTATCGTGATGTGAGTGAATTGATAGCATGATCTCGTTTCCGCTGATACAAATGCATTGAAAGTATCTGGATGTCTTCCGCAGATGCTATAACAGTAGCAGAAAGGGGATTCAGGATTTTTCAAGCACCGTCAGATTACTTCTACCTGATTAGTTCACGAAGTCTTCTACGCAATGTCCTTATAGTATTACCATAGGATTGTGGTGCCGGCGAATGGCTGGGAAACGACCCGACTGGGTTAGTTCTGACCTTGTCGAATGTACTCGATCTAGCCTGACCTACCTTGGAGAACAGAAATAGCTGGTGTGACCCCTTCAATACCTGGTCCACGGCAAGTATCGTCTCATGATCGTGCTGGCTCACCACATATCTCACAATATCTTTAGGCGTATACGTTCGATCCGTTAGCGATCTTGACCGAGGCGCAGTACAAACTTGTTCTCGGAGGTAAGAGTCTCGAAGCAATTTGAATTTAAACTTTCTGATCGATCCGCAGGTGAGCAAATTCTGTGGAGTGAGCAGTCTGGTCCCCAAAATATCTATCCGATAATGTGGCCACACGCTGCATCATCAGCAGAGATATTCTGGAGCGGCAATCAGCGCGACATCTGCCTCATGCTATTCTGTCGCCTGACAGTGAATATGCAAGACCACACATTGCTGCTCCGTCTTGATTGGGCCCACCTCGATTTCTCTGCTTTCTGCTTTTCGAACGAAGATTGTTCCATCATCGGACCCGCTTGCAACATCGTCTCCACTGGGAGACCACGACAGTGACCGCATGTTCCAACTATGATCTATCCGTCGGTCTTCCATTGCTGAACGCTTCGGTCTTCCCTCCCGCACACAGTTTTCTTTCCGTCCAGTGAAAGTGCCATTGCCCATATCCTTCCGCCCCCGCCTGTCCATGGTTCTCTGACAAGAAATACCGTGTCGCAGTTCCACTTGCGCATCGTGCTATGGAATGAAGCACTCGCGATGTGAACCTCATTATTCGATCATGGCCTATCCGTGTGCTCTGAATCGAAAGCGACCACACTCGAAACACTGGAGGGTTGGTTCAAGCACAGAACCTTCTTCTCCTCAGACTTTGTGCTCTGGTGCTTCGAGCACACCATCTGAGTCACGGACGACTTCTTCTCCCCAATCCTTGGCCCCGACACATGGTCGCCCTGGAAGAATATGTGGCCCAGATTGTCTCGGCGCTCTATACCCGTTTCTCCATCCTTTCGTGTTTCATTACCCCTTAGGCCCTCTCAGCGCCCCCTCTAGTGGAGTTGACGAATTATTGTAACCCATCTACTGTAGGCGAATGAAAAAACATACATGGTTTCTAAACGCATGCGCTTGAAATTAGTGATCTTCTGAGGTGAAGTCAACACCTTCATCAGGCACTGGGCTCAGGAATCCAAAAATTGTTTCAAAAATCCACTTGCTATGTTTGTATTCCAACATCAATGAGAAGGAAGGTTCCTCCCAAAGTCGTGTGTCAAAGAAGACTTATCAATGGCTGACCACGGTGCGCTTTTAGGTCCCAGTAGCGTCGTCTTGACCATCAGCTTCCTTTCTGTAAGCACGGTCCATGACAAGCTCGATTGTCACAGCCGTTCCTACAGTTGGTGGAGAAGGAGCAAAGATTCACGTCGTGCGGCAATAACTGTGGGCCTTGCATCCCCAGATGCTCATGGATGACAGCCCCTTTCCCAATTGGCAGCTAACTTCTCGTTCTGTGCACAAGGATGTGACTAAGAAACGCCAGTCAGGTCTTCCGAATGAAATCAACAGCGTCTTCGCCTCGCTAACTCGGCCTGGGACTTGAGTCTGTGAACGTAAATGAGAAAGATAAGGTAGTGGCCTAGGGATGGCCTAGGTCTGACTCAACACCTCATCCTGTCTCTTTCAACGTTCTTCGGAACAAATGACTTAAATATACGTTACGACGAAATATTTTCGAGGACCTATGTCTCCTTGAAATGCACTGCGCAAAACCAAATAATTAAGTACCACGACGAAACTTGAAAATGAAGAAAAAGCCAATTGTCCTGCTCCCTGCAGAGCACCAGACTACTGTTGACTCCATTGAGCATCTCACATGCTACACGCCACTGCCTGTCGATATTTGCACGCGCTCCTGGAAAGCGATTGAGGTCATGGCGGTTGCTGCATCAGAGTCGACCAGGAGCTGAGCGTGGTATTCTCGGACGCTAAGGATGAGGCGTGGTCCTAGCACAAAGGCCTGCATGACTTGAAAAATCTGACCTAAACCAAGAAGCGTCTGAGTTTCTAGGGAATATTGGTCCTGTAGAAATGATGAACCACGGTCGCATGCAGAGGTCAGCAAAAGATTGCCATACCGCTAAGATCGTTGGAGACACATCAAGAATGAGATTGAAGCAAGACAGAGCAACATAACTAGCAAGTTCAAACATTCAGCGGAAAAGGGAACCGCATTCAAAGTATCAGCTCACCTCGCAAAGTAAAGCACATGGGATTTTATCAACACCGTAAAACAGTCGCCGATAATCCCTCCTGCCGAATATTGCCGCAGTTCACGAAAGTGTTTTACAGCAATCCAGACTGCAAGACACAGCGCGAGGACCTCCCAGACAGTGCCGAGGATCCAAGTCATGGAAGACAGAAGTGGGGAATTGTCCGCATAGCCAATCATGCACGCATAGGTGCCAGAGAGAATGAGTTCCTCTGGTATCCATCAATGAGTCCCATGCACGGTTTTCATTCACAACTAAGTGTACCTCCTGAAGCAAGCCTCGTTGTCATTACAGTGACCGCTACGTCGAGAATGTTGACAGCCAATGGCACGACGACGAGAAATATCAGGATCCTTGTGGATCGTTGATACATGGCACCTAACCGAGCGATCATGATGGCTGCAACATGATTCGGTGAAGTCAATATCATAGGTCTTGTAACTGCACAACTCACCACACAGCATTGGAAATGCTACAACACTCGTCCAATCATACACGATGTACAGAATCCGGCCTGAGGAATCCGTTTAGTGATGGGCTTTGGGGGGATCACACGCTACAAACAGACTCACATCTGTAGCAGTCATGATAGCAAACAAAGAAGCTGATCAAGAATGACACTCACCCCTACAGGGTGTCATGGTTAATTGGAGGGGAATAGCAGGCATTGGTGCAGAAGACTCACTGCATCTGTCAACAAGATCGTCGGAACATTGACTGTATGCCACTGTTCAGAAGATACAAACACGGTGAATGCGAAAAGACATACCCAGTATGTCTATGCTGATTGTGTGAGAGATGGCCGATTAGCACAACACCAATTGTTTGGCCTTCTGAACATACACGACAAAGAACATTCCAAGATAGCGCACCTAGGATATTTTCAAGTCAGCACAACTTTACAACAGGCAAGGTACATACAGTCAGATAGAGAACGGTCATCAGGGACCAACGTTGTCTCTGTCGCTGATCAATAGTATTCTTCTGACGTGGAACTGTGCTCACCCAGACCAGTTCGACCTACAACAAATTTTAGCGAGATGGCTGCTCCGGTCGTAGGATCAACATACCTCTTGTCCGAACGTAAGGGCTGGAAATACTTGTGAGAAATCGGTAATTCTGTAATGTTATGATGCTCACCCCAATCATACGTCACTGCAACACCAGCGGCAACTGGAAAACCACAATCAAGGTCAGATCGAGGTCAACATCTGACTGCTCCTCACGAACCTATAAAATAGCTGCCAATACGCCAGGAGTTGATGAGTGGCCAATAACTAGGATCGTCTGAGACTAGTGTCATACTGTTAGAGGATGTATGTGAGGGAGTGGGGAACTTGGTGGACATACAATGATGATATTCGTGCTAGATATACCACCACCACCCAGTGATGTAGCGGGCCTTGAATAAAATGGCGGTGATGCGAAAGTAATCGGCGCCACAGGTTCTAGTACTAAATAGATCTCATATGATCTATTTTTCTTCTAATAATAGTGTCATCCATAATATCAACAATGGTTCATTGCGTCGGCATGATACCAGACCAGAAAAGTCAGCCGTTAGAAACAGTAGGGGAGATTCACCTACCCAGGCTAGCAATACCTCCCAGAAAGTACATATACCAGCCTGGCCGAAATGAGCCTATCATCAAAGGGGTTGTATCTGTTCCTGCCTCGATTGACTGAAGGAAGTTTTTCTGGATATCAGTAGGCGTAGGTCGCAAATTTTAAACGAAGGGACTCGCACATGGCGTGACACGTTGAAACACTGCAAAGATCGGGAACGGAAGCCACTCGTTCCGGTGTCTAATACCACAGCATCGATCACTTTAGATCAAGCATTCACTTCCATCACAAAGCCGCTGGGAATTGCTGCAGAAGGTTAGGGTACCTGCATACAAAGATATATTTAGTCCACATGAGTACCAGAATGCGAAGAAATACGCACTGGAAGGATTGCAGTAAGTTGGTAGGTTCAAGGCTTCACTCACATGGATGCTGAAGCGCTGACGGACAAAGCGTATCATATCTTTGATGTACTTTACTCAAATCCTAACTGCAACAGAGAAACGCTGCATAACCGTAACCGTGGACGGCGGCATTAGCATACCCCGCATAGCCGCATACCCGAAGGATAACTGATAGCACAGTGAGACTGAATGGTGTTGGACGCGAATGACATGAATTCACTCCGGAAGCGCATTCTTTTGGCCTAGTGGTACTGTACCGTGGGAACACAGCACAGGTTATATATTATTATGTACGTACCAGAACGTTAACGTACTAATTATAATCCATCATACAGACCAACGTTCCAACACCCAGGACTACACTGACGCCACAGAACGACAATTGCGACGAATAATATTAATCAAGACAGGAGAATGCAAAGAATGCGGAGAGGCTGACTTGAGGAATGCTGTGCTATCCTTATCGACTCTTCCATGAGTACACTTCGAACTGACTTTAATTCTCTCCTCCGAGTCACTATTGCAGTTTCCCGCGAGCATACCATCCCCGGAGACTGTGGCATGCCACCGTGGTTACACCGCCTATGATACACCTCGCTCCTCGACCTTCCCGTTCAACTCAAATACACACGTAGCAACTTATTTTCCTTTGCTTCCTCCCACAACTCCTTCGCTCTTCTTCCTCCACGAACCACCTCGTGGTCATTGATGTACCTCTGTGTCTTTCGCAATTTAGTCCATGATCCACTTGCATCTCACCGCTACATCGCCCCTCCCCAACTACCCATCGGTGTAGGCCGCAACTCAGTGTATTGGCAGATCATTCCCGTGCACGAGCGTCCATACATCTTATAATTTATTTTTGGTTTTTTTCAGTCTCAACCCACACCCTTTTTTTTTTTTTTTTTTTTTTAAAAATCATATTTGTATCCATCAGGGTAGTCTACCCTATGTCGGATAATTCTATCTAGTCTAAAGAGCACCTGTGCTCTTCGTTGCATCACCAAAATCGCAGATGTCCCAGTGTGAGGCGTGCCCCCGCTGGTCCGCCGTTCCCGCCGGCCGTTTTAGGTGCGCATTTTGTCGATGATGGACGGACATGGTTCTAGTACTACTTTTGGGTGATCTATGCAAGTTTCCGGTCTTCTGTAGCAGGTATTTGTTTGCCTAAGCGTTACAAATACAGGAGGTGGGGGAGGAGCGATAAGGTGGGGTCGATGGGTAGGTGGCTCATCTTCCATGCATCTCTTCGCGTTTTGAACTCCGGAGGTGTGAAACCTATGTCTTCTGTAGTTTGCGGGTAGGCGGTGTGTTTGATGGTTTTTCTCTATGACGTGTCTAATATTTTATCTGTTTTATCAATTGTTCTGAATTAAGGTGGAAGAGTGACATCACCAAATGTTGATTTGAGGCGGCTTGTGCTATTGACATAGTGAAGGAAGTGTTCTGTTGCTTTTGGGTCGGCTAAAAGGAATGGGAGTGACGTGGCATTGCGGCCTAGGGCGTTTACGAGAATGTGACGTTCGCGGTTATATTGCGGGCATATGAAGAGGTAATGTCGTATGGTTTCGTTGGTGTTATGGCATGTGGGGCAGTGTGGGGTTATACTGCGGTTGATTCTGTGAAGATGGGCATTGAGAGCGATGTGGCGGGTTCGGAAGTACATGTATAGGGCGATCAGGCATTTAGGGAGGGTGCCGACTAGTTTGATGAATGAACGTTTGAGTATCTTGGGGTCTATGTTTTTCATGCGGGTGTAGCGGGGGGAGGTGGTCCAGAGTTGCTCCCAGCGTTCTTGGGTCTTCTGTTTATGTTCTTGTTTGATTGCTGAAACCCACACCCTCACTAGCGACTCCTCCCATTGCTGCCATCAAACCCTGCCTGCAGCACCAGTCAACTTGGTGGCCCGTTTCACGCCATATGTGCTCCCTTACCAATTGTTGAGGTTCTTCTCACTAGAGATCAATAATTGTGCTCAGAGTGCCTGTGTCTTTTTTGACACATTTTGTCGCTTTTGCGTCCCTGGAATGTTCTTGATGGTAGCCAACCTCTCGTTTACACCAGTTCTTACGAAAATCTGCATTACAGAGCCCTTCAACCTTCCGCCTCTCCAAGTCCCTCGAGTCCCCCGAGTTACGACCTGGAATACACTGGCAAGCACTTTTCAAAATTCAAACTCTCTGAGTCAAACAGGCCCCGTCGTCGACACTTACGGTCAAAAACTTATTGAGGATATCTTGGCCGTGTACACTCCCATCGGTCCTCTGCCAGCCATCCCAGAGTCCAAACCTACATGGAGATTCACCGCTCTCTCTCTCGGTCGCCATCACATTCGCAACCGACATCGCACAGCAGATGTTCAACTCCCGCACTTTCTCTGGTACTGGTACCTGCATGTAATGTTCCTAGGTGTGTCGGTTTCATCGATTGGAAATTACTGACGAGCCGTTTTAGTTTGGGATGCCGAGACGTTAGTTCACTTCAAAATCCGACTGGTACTCAGCAGTGGTAGGTCTCAGCTAAGAAAGGACTCATGAATGTCTTTTTCGGTCCTTCATCTCCAAGCTTACTTGCGAATTCATAGCACAATGCTAAATACGGTACATGTATCACGCAATTATGCTTAACGACACCAAAAGTATTCGTGTTCGTATGTCCGTCTCGTCAAATAAAGTATAAAGCAAACTCCTCCACAGATTTACTCAAGCTCTTCAAAATTCATCGAGCTACGCATACACGAACGTTCCCAGCACATCTTGTAGTCGTCTTCAGTGAATTTCGTGTGGGCCAGTTAGCGTGAGTCGGGTGAGAAGACAAGGGTGGGACGTTGAATGAGGCGAGGGGATGCTTTTCCAGTTATCTTTGTGTGGTGGGGCTCCACAGTACGACACCCAAAGACTAAGAAGTTGGCCATTTCCTCCCTACGCTGGATAACACCTACAATCAGCCAGTTAATGAACGGTGAGCCCTTGCCGATGAACACACCGCGTTCATAACCAGAGAGACCCATATGAACGACTCTGGGTCATGCTGGTACATGTGCTAGACCTTTCCTTCCAAGGCTGCCTGTGTGAGAAGATGATAAGTCGAAGTCGTTGAGGACACCGATCCATCGACCAACTGAGGTCTTGGATACTACGAGATTGCTAGGGCTGACGTCACGATGATAGACAAGTCCTTCCCAGAGGGCATAATGTCCTGGTGTCGTAGGTATCAATGAAGAATAAGGAGCGCAAAAGGAAGAACACATATGAATGACGATGTGCTGAGGAACGTGTCCCACAGGTCCGTGATTCGGCTCAAGCCTTCTGAATACGATGATGCAGAAGACGTGCCTGCCTAGTTCAGGGTCGTCAAATCCCAGCGTGCTCCTGCAGCGGATGCTCCTAAAAAGACGATGATATAGTACCTGATGAATATTTCGACCCCCCTTCACCAAACCTGGATTCACATCAACCAGCCACAGCAGTACAGATCAACATCGGAGAGCACGGAAGAGGCCGGTCGTGTTTACCTTTCCCTATCTGGACATATTATACTGGTGAACGTATGAATGCGAGGAGCTTGTAAGCACGCTGGCTTACTTGAGTTCTCATAATCAATACATATACTGTCGCGGGTACTGAAGACTAAGTCTTCAGTATTTCTACCTTTTGGTGTAACGGTCATGAGGCGCGGCAGCCGACTACTTTACAGAGCTCTTTGACTCGTTCAAGATGAATTTTCTCGAGCTCCTCTATATGGTTTAACCTCTATCTCTTCGATTTGATTACGAGTAATCGTCGTGTGGAGGAACAGAGGTGCGCGGGGGATAATCAATGAACACCGCAACTTTTTTATTTGAAACCTTCTAACACCACACTCTGACTATAACAAATTCCCACGGGCGACAATACTTGTGCATGTTGAATCTGTACGATACGTCGTTCGATGGGTTCGCCGAGGACTTGCACATGGGTTGATCATACAGATTCGAACAAAGCCTCTTGATTCTTGAACCCCTTTCAGCCAATATGCATGTCGGCGCGGATTCATTAACATTACCCAAACACCGGGCATCCCGCACAGCACTTGTTGATCGAGACACCTGGCCCATGCGATACTATGGACTTTAAATTCGTGCAGTTTTCAAAGTGACCCGGCACTTGTTACAAGATAACTTCCTCTCCTGCACAAGCTTCCCCACTCGCTCTCATCCTCCAGCCCACATATTCCTTCACTAATCAGACCGCGTCTTTCAACAACTCAAAGTTCTCTTCTTTCTTCTGCTCCGCGCACTCCTTCTCGTAGCCCATTCACGTCTCATATTTTCACTTCGCCCCATCTCCAAATAACAACAATTGTGGCTCATGGAATTGTTCAAACTACGACTTTGACAACCCTAAGCGTAAAGTGGAAGGAAGATCAGATTAGGTCACTTGGCAGGTGCGTAGAATTTCGGGTTTCGTCAAGCGATTGGCCCAAACTGCGCGATAGACCTTGAATGTGTTACCTTCTCATCTTATCCTGCATTTCAACAGCTCAATTCCACCTCCGGACCTTCTCAACAAGATTGCACTCGTTATCACTGTTGCCAGAGGCCCAAATGACAGGCCCCAATCTGTGACCACAACGCATGCCAAGATTTCACGATAAACGCAAAGGCTGATTATAAGGAGAGGATTTCTCAGTGCGTCTTCCCTTCCCTACCACCTGCTTGTCTTACTATCTCTTTTCACAGCCTTTCGCACAATCTACAACAATACAAGCACGCTTTCCACCACCCGTGCCTGTGTCCTGCTGACTGGTGTCGTTCCACAGAACAGTTACTTACTCCCTCTACTCTTAGTTCATTGACGCTCAACGCCTCGCAGAGAAACACTAGCAAGTCCACCCTGTCCTTGAATTCCGACTCCACCTTTGGCACTTCCGTTTCCGCACTTGCGACTCTGCATCCTTCCTCTCTGCACAGGTGATTCACTTTGACTTTCACAAGCTCCTGCAACATGCGCGTGGACGCGGACGGTGACAGTGAGAATTTGTTCAAAAATTCTGAATTTCGCCGTAGCGGAAGGTTTGCCGACCTAGCCCCAGGCCCTACCTTGGTACAAATACATTCAACGAGGAAAGTCAAAACGCCCCATTTCCACCACAAATTCAAATCAAAAACTGACACCCCCGCTCAATCTGTGATATCCTCACCAAAGACACCTCCATCCACACCTCGAGTGCTACCATAGCAGCCACGTCCATCGAACAACCTAAATTCCTCAAGGGACGCATGCCTTCCCTATCCGTCTCCCTTGACGAAGAGGACAACGCACGTTTTCAACGTGCGAAGAAACCCCATACAAGGGAGCCTTCGTGGTCGCTCCTTGCGTTCCCAGATACTCATGCAAAACATCCCCTTTCCCTATTGGCAGCATCGCAAATTACAACTCCAAGTTCTGTGCACATGGGTCTGACTAAGGAACACGAGTCAGGGCTTCCAAATGAAATTAACAGTGTCTCCGTCTCGCTAACTCGTCCTTTCAGTCTGGGAGCGTAAATGCGAAAGATATGGTAAGGGCCTAGGGCGACTGACGAAAACTGATTGCAAAATGCACCACAGTAATTTCATCATGCAGCTGCGGTTGACATAATCGATATGTTGAATGGGACCGTCAATTATGAGCTGCGCTGTGGGAACTCAAAACTTGCTTGGATTTCAGACATCCTCCCCAGCACTATGCCATCATATGAATATTAAAAATTCAATGCCCATGTCAACGTTCAGCCTCCCCATGCGCGTCACCAATATTAGACCCAAAGTTAATATTTATGACACATTGATTCCTTCTACGTACTCTATAATGATTGGTCTGACCTGACACCTCGTCATGTCTCTTTCAATGTTCTTCGGAACGAATAACTTAGATACATATTACCACGAAATATGTGCCAAGGCCACAGTCTCCTAAGTACCATGACGAAACTTGAAAATCAAGAAAAGAGCCAATTCTCCTGCTCCCTGCAGAGCACCAAACTACCGTTAACTCCGTTGAGCATCTCCCATGCTACACGCCACTGCCTGTCGATATTTGCACGCGCTCCTGGAAAGCGATTGAGGACATGCTGGTTGCTGCATCAGAGTCAGCCACGAGCCGAGCGTGATATTCTCGAACGCTTAGGATGAGGCGTGGTCCCAGCACAAAGGACTGTATGGCTTGTAAAAGCTCACTAGTACCAAGAAGAATCTGAGCGTCCAAGGAAAATATGTCCTATAGAAATGATGAACGGTGGTCGCATGCAGAGGTCAGTGAAAGATTGACATACCGCCAAGAGCGTTGGAGACAAATTAACAATGAGGCTGAAGCAAGACGCAGCAACAAAGCTAGCACATTCAATCATTCAGCGGAAAAGGGAACCATATTCACAATATAAGCTCACCTCGCGAAGTAAAGCACGTGTGATTTTATCAACACAGTGAAACAGTCTCCGATAATCCCTCCTGCTGAATGTTGTCGCAGTTCACAGAAGTGTTTTACAGCAATCCAGACTGCGAGACACAGTGCGAGGACCTCCCAGACAGTACCAAGTATCCAAGTCATGGAATTCAGAAATAAGATATTGTCCACATAGCCAAACATGCACGCATAGGTGCCAGAGAGAATGAGTTCCTCTTTTATTCATCAATGAGCGCTATGCACGGTTTTCATTCACAATTAAGTTTACCTCCTGAAATATGCCTCGTTGTCATTGCAGTGACCGCTACGGCGAAAATGTTGATAGCCAAGGACACGACGGCGAGAAATATCAGGATCCTACTGGATCGTTGATACATGGCACCTAACCGAGCGATCATGATGACTGCAATATGTTTCAGTCAAGTCAATATCATAGGTCTTGTGACTGCACAACTCACCACACAGCATTGGAACTGCTACAACACTCGTCCAATCATACACGATGTACAGAATCCGGCCTGAGGAATCCTGTTAGTGATGGGCCTTGGGTGGATCACACACTACAAACAGACTCACATCTGTAGCAGTCATGATAGTGAATGGAGAAGCTGGTCAAGAATGACACTCACCCCTACAGGGTGTCATGGTTAATTGGAGGGGAACAGCAGACAGCGGTGCAGAAGACTCACTGCATCTGTCAACAAGATCGTCGGAACATCGACTGTATGCTACTGTTCAGAAGAAAAAACATGAAGAATGCGGGAAGACATGCGCAGTATGTTCATGCTGATTGCGAGAGATGGCAGATTAGCACAACACCAAATGTTAAGTCTTCTGAACGTATGTGACAAATAATACTCCAAGATAGCGCACCTAGGATATTGTCAAGTCAGTCCAAATTCAGAGCAGGTAAGCTACGTACACTCAGATAGAGAACGGTCATGAGGGACCAACATTGTCTCTGTCGCAAATCAATATTGTTCTTCTGATGTGGAACTGTGCTCACCCAGATCAGTTCGACCTACAAACAAATCTTAGCAAGATGGCTGCTCCGGTCATAGCATCGACATACCTCTTGTCTGAACGTAAGGGCTGGAAATACTTGTGAGAAATCGGTAATTATCTAATGTTATTATGCTCTCCACAATCATATATCACTGCAACAAAGGAGGCAACTGGAAAACCACAATCAAGGTCAGATCGAGACATGAGCGCCGAAATCTGACTGCTCTTCACGAACCTATGAAATAGCTGCCAATACGCGCAGAGTTAATGAGTGGCCAATAGCTAGGGTCGTCCGAGACTAGGGTCATACTGTTAGAGGATGGATGTGAAGGAGCGGGGAACTTGGTGGACATACAAGGATGATATTCGTGCTAGATATACTACCATGACCATCCAGTGCTTGGATGACCGAAATGAGATCGAGGGATGATATCTGTTCCTGCCAATGCATATGATATCATTTTGGAAGTGATGTAGCGGGCCTTGAATAAAATGGCGGTTCGATGCGAAACTTGAAAGTAATCGGCACCACAGGTTCCAGTACTAAATAGATCTCATATGATCGATTTTCCTTCTAATAATAGTGTCATCCATAGAATCAAAAATCACTGGGTGTAGTCGCTGAGTAGATATGGGTTGAATAGATGAGAGAATACGGTGAAAATATGTTAAGATAAACTTACGAGAATTTGTGTGCCTCGCACGTTAGCTACATATGGCTATGTCTGTACCTATGAACTTTATGATCTTGGCAAGCTGACATGCTCAAAATTCAACCAGGCATGCCTTGGTCATGTAGTTCAAGATATAACTACATGTGTGCACATTGTATATTCAACATTTGCCTCGATGCATCTCTACGAACTTGTTGTACCATCACTAGCTGTGACTTTGCAGCCTCATCTTAGGTATAATCTGGGGTATGGGTACCATATTCACGAAAATTAGAATATATTAATATATATGACATATTGACAGATCAACCACGTGCTACGGTATCGCATATATGCACCTTCGACGCATCCACTAATATCATTGCTCCTCCTCACTCAATATCCTTCATCCGAGTATGTCTGGCCTCCCATGCCCACCAGGATTCAATGCCCAAGCCTGGATCCAAATCCCCGAATCAGCACAGGTTCAAATATGGAGGGACACCGCTGCACGCACCCAACCTGCTGTCCCACCACACGAATCACAGATTGACCCTGCTCTTCTTGGGCCAAATTTGAGTGGGTTGTCGCGGACCGTACAGCGCAGAGTTCACGATGCGAGTCGTGATGGGCCCCATGCACCTATGCCTCCAATGGGGAACGAAGCCATACCAGGGAGAGGTGCTGAAAGGAGTCGGTATGTCAATAATGGTGCATATATGCGCACAGACTCACCTGTATGATGCAGAAACCAACCTCGCGAACACATGCGCTCACGTACTGATGAGCATAGCCGAAGACGTCGACAGAACACCCGTTCTAGATCCCCTTGTCCACGGGAAAGGAATGCGAGACGATCGCACAGACACTCGCGCTCTCAACGTTCCTCATCACGAAGTTCAGAGGATAGTCTTTCTTGCCCGTTATCAAGCAGTGTGAACCGGACTTCTGATCCACCGGAAATGGATGACTCGGACATCAGCGAACTTCTGCGCAGCATCCGAGAAGATCAGCTTGAAGACCGTGCCAGGCTCGATGCACTTGAGGGCACACGTACGATCCAACCCAGTCGTCGTACAAGACCAACCGGAGCTTTCGGAAGAGGTGGTGCTGCTATTGTGAGACGTCGGGGTGTGTATTGAAGAGCTGCAGCCCAGTCTGATGGCGAGGAGGCCACGGATGACGAAGACGGGACCCGTGAAGATATCACGCAGTCGAAGAATTCGCTATCGAAGACCGGACAAGACGCTAGAAAATATTTAAAAGTGAGTACGCTGTGAAGGATCGTTGGAACGGATAAAAGGTGACACCCATAGACGCACATTACAACAACCTTCCGCAAGATCTGCGGTATGAAGATGAAGGACAAATGGCCCTTACTGTCGGAGGGTGAACGAAGGAACCCAGATACAGACGAGGTATATTACACACCTGATTTTGCCAGCGACGTGCAGGATGCGACAAACATCGAAATCTCCACCAAGGCCGCAGATGTGACATGGAATGAATTGCAGGTTAGTGTATTTATCAAAGTTTGAAGCTTTCCGTTCAACTCACTACGAGAACAGAAGGAGAAAGACAATTGGCCGAAATGCCTCAAATCAAGGACCATCCGCTGGAATAAATCGACTCTCCTCGTCTTCGTGAAAGAGACATTCCGTGGATTCAAGGCAAAATCGAAAGCCGAAACAGATCCTCAACGTGGGCTAGCGCACACAATTAATCAGCGCAACACTTGATGGAGTAACCGTCGCAAAGAGGTAACAATCACTGACATTCACCTGTACCTGTAGTGTTGAAGCTTAAAAGTGTCAGATTAGACACAAGCCTTGATGCAAAAATGACTCTAAACTAGAGAGAGTGAAGCATCAAGTCAGAGACACTGCCTACCCTGCTAATCCCTTCCACCATGAAGCATCAAGCTGGAGTATTTTGGTATGTTTTATTCCGCAATTTTGACTTCCAAATGTGGTAATTCACAAAACATATCCTATTTTGGCCCTTCCTCATGTCTCACTTAAAAATAGATTGCTCCTGCCTTCCCACATCATTCCCACACCCCGCATTTTTGCACCTACTGTGGGAATTACCCCACAACACCAAAAACATCGCCCATTTTGGGAATCTCCACAATATCAATTATTCCCACACCCTTCCCACCTCATTACAGCTTCACCACTACACTACAATAGATCCCCTCTTGTATCTAAGTAGTAGTTTGGTATATATGTGTATAATATTATATAATAAACCACTTTTTTTATTTATTTGTGTGATAGGTTCCCCTCTAGAGCCCTTTCAAAATGATGTAGGATATAAAACATTTTCGCACTTTTGCTCCTTTGATAGGGAAGTGTTCTAGGGCATTCAGAACATGTCTAGGGGTGTATATGAAGAGATTCCCCTACCTTTTTGAGCCCCTGAAGCGCCCTACATCAATAGATATTGCATATGTGCAGGAAAACACACAATATGGTCCCATTTGTTTATTTCTAGGTGGGTGGACTTGGAAACATGATCCCCAGCATCTATTTAACAATAGGAAAAATGTATCAGGAGATCAGGACCATAGGACAAGACCTTATTGCATAGTGTACTCCCCCTCTCCAAGTGGTTTACCCTTTGTGAAAACTTTTCTTGCAGGACCAGATCTCAAGGAGGGTAGGGGGACTATTTCTATGTATATCCTCAGTAGATATATCATATAATTAGCCCATGATACCTACAGGATCCTTCTATAGGAACAAAAACTTGACACATTACAATTATGACATTTCTGATGTGGTTTACCATCCTACTCTTACACAAATCATCTAAGCTGCTCTGAGACAATCATTTGCCAATGTATATATGTTTATTATGCTAAGGATCAGTAAGATCAATGGCAGAAACTTGGGATCTGAGGTAAAGGGGGTATTTCTACTGATAAGAAGCTCATATAGTAATACAGAGTGTCATCAGTGATCAGACACCTGGGATACCTCACCTATATACCCCTTATGACAGCCCTAAAGCTTTAGAATGATCCATCCAGGATTGACTGATTGACAAGCAAAATAACATATGTGTGAAATGTCACAATTGACATCTTTTCACACAAAGTCACATTTATATATCACATAGGTCGAAGATTTTATTAAAAATGTGTAGGATATATAGTAGACTACCTAAGGAACCTATAGTACATACTTCCCTTATGGTAGACTGTTGGTGGAGGGATGTGGTATAGAAATGTTTGAATTGGTGGCTTATAGCCATGTATACACTTACTGACCATTTTCGATGTTTTGGGCATTTGAAGTTTCCCACACTCAATTTCTTATCTATTTCACTTGCCTAGCTCTTAATTATGGGTGGATCTTGCTGTGGCTTTGGGTCTATAATACTGAATATATGTAAAATGTAGTCCAGGGGTCTGATCATTAAATGATGATGATATGAAGGTATGGGCTCCTTATCAGTATACATAGCAAGTATATACACTATCTCAGAACCATGGCATATTTTGAGCTGATCCTGGTATCAAAAGCAATTATATATCCTATACTAATGATATATGAACAGATTGGAGAATTTATGCAAGAATAGAATAGTCAGAAACATGAAACTTGTGAAAAATGTGAATTGTCAAGTTTTTGTTCCTGTAGAAGGATCCTGTAGGTATCATGGGCTAGTTATATGATATATCTACTGAGGATATACATAGAAATAGTCCCCCTACCCTCCTTGAGATCTGGTCCTGCAAGAAAAGTTTTCACAAAGGGTAAACCACTTGGAGAGGGGGAGTACACTATGCAATAAGGTCTTGTCCTATGGTCCTGATCTCCTGATACATTTTTCCTATTGTTAAATAGATGCTGGGGATCATGTTTCCAAGTCCACCCACCTAGAAATAAACAAATGGGACCATATTGTGTGTTTTCCTGCACATATGCAATATCTATTGATGTAGGGCGCTTCAGGGGCTCAAAAAGGTAGGGGAATCTCTTCATATACACCCCTAGACATGTTCTGAATGCCCTAGAACACTTCCCTATCAAAGGAGCAAAAGTGCGAAAATGTTTTATATCCTACATCATTTTGAAAGGGCTCTAGAGGGGAACCTATCACACAAATAAATAAAAAAAGTGGTTTATTATATAATATTATACACATATATACCAAACTACTACTTAGATACAAGAGGGGATCTATTGTAGTGTAGTGGTGAAGCTGTAATGAGGTGGGAAGGGTGTGGGAATAATTGATATTGTGGAGATTCCCAAAATGGGCGATGTTTTTGGTGTTGTGGGGTAATTCCCACAGTAGGTGCAAAAATGCGGGGTGTGGGAATAATAAATAGGTCCTGGAGAAGCCAGGAATTTAGAAGCTGTAGAAGAAGTATGGAAGCACATACTAGAAAAGGTAGTAGCCAGTGAATCCTTGGTGGATCCCAGCTCAAACATATTATGCATTGTGAGAAACCTTGAAGCATCAACCTACACATGTCAGAGAACTAGACACTTTTTGCATCAAGGCCTGTGTCTAATTGTACACTTTTATGCTTCAATCTGACAGTATAGCCTGTGACATTTGTTGCGAGTCACTGATTGGAAGATCCAGAAAGCTGGCAATGTGCTGGCCGGAGATGTCATTGAGCAGTACAAGGTACAACACGATGGCGCTGATCCGTCACCTTTCGTTATTCCAGATCACATGTCCGACGAAGCCTCTGGGCCTGAGGACGAAGCGGAAATGTACGATGACTGGAAACAAAGGATGGCAACGGCGGCGGGATTTGCAGCAGAGACCCTAATATCTCACCTCAAGTTTCTCGAAGTCATCAATCCGCAGTGGAGGAGCACTCAGGTGCACCTGAAATAATCTATTATACAATGACTCAACAGGACATCACGCAGCAATCAAGAATTTTCCACGACTTACGTGACATTTGGTGGACGACGAAGAGCTCAAAGGAACACGAGAAGTTCGCTATTCGAGTCAGAGGATCCGGTCGATGGTCTACCAATGCCGACATCCCGAAAGTGTCACCATACGACTTCGGAATCAATCTCGAGTGGCTGAATGAAGCCCGAAAGGACCGTCTCCTTGAAGAACGGCTCAAAGACTGGGGCAAATACGGAGACCCCGTTCATGTTGTTGCTGCAGCTAGCGAGGAAGGAGACACTGACGATGAGGGAGATGACGACGCTGAGGGAGATGGAACCACAACAGGTGGGGGTGGTGAACGTGATACTGATGGTGTGGGGGAAGCTGAGGACCAGTAAGCTAGTTTTTTTGTTGCGATGGACACATACCTTGTGGACTGCGAGATCACGGATGCTGGATACACATGTACATTATGAATCCATGTAACCGCCCATGAAGAGGTAATTGGTGTCTGGTGAGTTTCCCCCGGTGCAAAACAGCTCAGAAAGATCATGCTGTGCGTAGAGCAAATGAGGCATGAGAGGCACAATACGCGCACCATAAGGATCTCTCTTGTCTGTTGTGGTGGAAACGAGGCCGATTAATTTAGTGAAGTAAGGTAAAAACGCACAATATACGCACCTCTGCAGCTAAGACACACAAACCCTCCAAAGTCAACCTCGACCGTGCTCAACACTACCAACCTCCAGTAAAATGATGAAGTTCATTCCAAGCACCGCACCCCTTCGAACTTTTAAAGGCCATAAGGATGGCGTAATTGCAGTCGCAGTTGTCCCCGATAGACGAAGAATGGTTACGGGCTCAGGCGACAGTACACTTTGTCTGTGGGACTAAAAAAAATCTTAATGAACCTTAGATAAACTTAGCATCACTTAATAAATATTTTAAGTCAGATTCAGCAAAAATAAATTAAGGAAATTGTGACTTGCCACAAGTAGGGTCTTCGGATGAATGTGACTTAGCTGCTCTGACTGCTGTGCTTATTATAGCTAAGCAACTTGAAAGGTACTACTAGTATGCAGTCGACTCAGCTTGAAGTGGTACTTAGAGATTGTTTCAAAGCACTTTCAGGCCCCAAAGTTTCAAAAGTCAAAATTAAGTGAAAAATGCATGGGTGACTTAGTGCTACTTATTGCATGCGCACCACTTCAAGTACTTTATACTACTTTACCCCTTTCTGAGTGGTCCTGACTGAACTTGAGCGCACCCTTAAGGACACAAAGTGAAATAAGCTGAAAGCAGCATGTACTATTTTCCCTGATAGTAGTAGTAGCCTTCAAGTGGTGAAAAGCATCTGTTCAAGTGGCGAGAAAGCATCCGTTCAAGCATTGAGTAAGGCAAAACAGCACAAACAATGTCCATTTTCATATGGCAACTAAGTACAAAGCGAGTTAAGGTGGCAGGCAAGAGCGAATACTAAGCATGGTAAGAACTATCAAAACATGTCAGAGGCGTGGCGGCTAGTACTAGGCTAGTAGTAGTGGTAGGTCCATGATACTAGTATCACCAGATAGCAGCGGCAGCTCGAGAGCCTGAGGGAAAGGGTAGTAGTAGTAGTAGTACAGTGAACAACTGGAAAAACCTCAGGCTGATTTACACGCCGTGATGGCAGGAACACGGGGTCTGGATACTATTAACACCACCACCACCAGCATAAGCCCACTAGCATTAAACATTAGCCTTGTAGTAGTAAATACAATGAAAAAAAATAATCACCGTCGGCTTCGAGGAAGGCGCAAGCCACGTTAAGGCTCCTACTCCACATCAGAGCCGCGGCCGTCATCTCCCTCGGACTCGGTGTCTGATATATCCACCAACTGGGCACGCTCATCCAGGTCAAGGTCGTCCTCCACGGCAGCATCATCGACATCATCGCCAGGACGACAACTCTTCTTCGAGAATTCCATGGCAGATGCAATGATGACTTCGAACTTGTCCTCGCGCAGGTTCTTCATGATAGCCTTCGCATAGGCGCGTGTAGATGTACCCCAGGAGACGTCGTTGAATCCTGTTTGCCGACAGGACACCTTGCCGGTAGACTGATTCATTGTCTTCGGCAACAGAATGCTAGTTTTGTTCTTCGCGGCCTGAACCATTTTAATGGTGAGTGTACGAGTAGACCAGAGGGTCAAAGCTCGTTCGACCTAGTTGAAACGGTTGGTGAGATTAAAGAATAAAAAAAATGACAAGTACATACCGCGGCACATGACAATGTGAGACCCCCAGCAGGATTCGCCGGTACACCTGGCTTGTCTACCCCAGGTATCTTCCGAGCGCCACGGGTTGCGGTGAAGTGTGCACCAAAGGTTTGCACAATAAATGCACCTTGATAAAGGCGCCGGAATTTCTGCACTAAGCATTAGCACAATGACAACTCGGTAATTGATTGAGATGGAAGAAGTACTTACAGACTTGTCATTGCCATTCGCCTTCTTGTATAAGAACCGAAGGTTGCTGAGTGCATACTCCGCAAATTCGGCGCGATTATCGTCAGAGTCCCTCAACGAGTCCTCAGATTCGAGGTACGCGATGACAATCGCAATAGCTGCTGAGCCAATGTGGCTGTGGTAGGAGTCGGCGACTTGCTGAACAGCCTATATTGAAGTACATCTAAATTAGTACCGCCGTTGATGAAATTGAGCGCACTTACAATGTAGTAGACTGAACTAAGGCTTGACACTGTGTGGGTGATGTCGGGAAAGACCGCATCCCAAATCACCTGCATCTTCTCACACGCCAGCTTGGTGGGAACCTCCCAGGGATTGGCCAATGTGGCGACATATTGGATGTATGTTGAGATAAAGACACGGCGCCAGATTTTCGGATTGATGCCCTCGGGGAGGTCTTCATTGCTGGGTTTCTTCACTCATTCAGTTTGACGGACAGGGGAGCCTTTAACAAGAGCCTGTAGTAGTAGTCAGTAGTAGAAATAAACACGATGTCAAAACAGACACTCACTGAGCTCATTACTCGTTTTTTCCCTTTGGGAGGGCTAGCGATCGCAGCCTCGCGTTCGAGACCGTGGGTCTCATCCTCGTCAGAGAGTCCTCCATCAATGATTTCAAGGTGATGGTTCTTTTTGGGTTCTTGAATCACCCCCGCTGCGTGAGAAATCAAAACGTTGTTGGTCAGGACTGAATTAGATGATGATCGAGTGCTGCCATTGGTCAGGGGGGGAAGAATGGATCCACTGCGGCGCGAGGCTGAGCTATTTTTAAAAATGCTGGGCTGGCTGGTGTTGGCCTTGCTACCAGGCTTTGCGTTCTTTGGGATGCTTGCGGCCCAATCATTGATGCCAGTTGAAAATTCCTTTGGGTCGGTAGTACTAGTAGAATCACTGAGAAAAAAATAATAAAGGATTGTTTCGTCAAGGGTGAGCATGATATTGATGGGACAAGTCACAACAGGAAAAGAAGAATCGAACTTCGTACCTTTTCGGCTGAAGCGGTTTCTTATCACATTTTCGCTTGCCCTTCTCCTTCTCCTTCTTCCCCTTATCATTGGGCTTCTCCATTGACTTCTCCATCGCCTTCTCCTTCCTGCTACCCCTTTCTTCAGTCTGATTATCACGAGGCCGTGCCTTAGGTGTGTTCTCATTGCTCAAGACCGGCATTGCCCACTGAGGCTTATCTGGGAGATCAGTATCCATAGGTTCGTCATCTGAGCGACCGACCTGAGCTGGCGGGGCTGATTTTCTACTAGGAGCCTTCTTAGGCACGTTCCAAATTGGAGGGTCAGTGACCATGGCATCGTCATCGAGGCTGTCAGCTGGGAGGGCCGATTTTTTGCTGCGAGCCGCCTGAGGTGTCGTGTTGATAACCTGGACACTCGACTCCGTGTCCGATTTGATACTTATTGTGCTGGCAGGTGGGGCTATCTTTCTCTTCTTATTCTTCTCCCGCTCATTCACCTCTTCAAGTTGCGCCGCCTTGATTGCATCCCGTACCTTAGGCTTCTTAGCCTGCACCTTCGTACCCTCCCGTTTGTCGACCTTCGCCTTCTTTTTCGGCGGCGACGCAGGATTTTCACTCAGCTCTGAGTCATCCGCGTGGGAGTCAGTTGTTTCTGAGGCTTGGGATGGATCTGGATTGAAGGTGCTGGTGCCAGCGATGGTGTCGTCCATCTCGACCTCAGAAATGAACGTGTTGTCTTCGACAGGCGGCGGGGTGGGTTTGACACGAATCTTCTTCGGAATGGGCCTTGGATGGGGCTTTGGCTTTGGTAAGGCTGCAGCCCTCGGGGTAGCGTCGGTCAACGCGTCCTTGTCGGCTTGATTCTTCTCGTATTCGGCAACTCGTTTGATCCCAGCGCCTTTGGCACGTTCCTTTTCTTCTTTGGCGTCTATCTTGAACTGACGCTCAGCAGCTACTTCTGCTGCAGTACGACGTTTCTTCTTTGGGACCACGTCTGGAAGACCAGGATGCTGAGCTGCATTGTTGGCGCGGGTAACACGGCGAGTGGACATTTTGATGAGTTGGAGTGTTGAAAGGAGCAAGACTTGAAAGGTGAGCAAATTTCGTCAATTTACGGTGGTGGTAGTAGTAATAACTAAAATGGCTCAAATTCGGACTTAGACAATTTCAGGGTTTTGCCACGCCTCACCAGCATGGCACATTGACATTGGACTCCGGGCCTGGTATGTGGTCGATGATACTACTTAATACGACCGCTATCTCATTGATCTTTTTGACCTACAGAGCTGATTGATCACGCTATCCTTCCAGTAAAGGACGACATGTTCTTGATCGATACCCAAAAGGTGTGATAGCACCCATCATTTGGTAGCCAATCATAGCCTTCTGACCACTTTGGCTATGGTTCATTTGATGCTCAAAGGATCATTCTCGTCGCTCGATCAACTTCTCAGGATGTTTCGGGTCGGTTGCACGAACATACTGGACCTCGACTGACCAGCATTTGAAGTCAGGTAAGTGTTAAACGCAATTCTAGCGTGCATGAGAACCTTATTCTCACATTTTCATTACTTCTACACCAGAAGTCCAATAGGCAGACAGCGCTGCTTTTCACAGTGGATATGTACAAGCAGATCTTGTTGCAGTCCGTCTATCAGATCACTGTCTGCTACCCCCACTTCAACCCTGGCATCAAGATCCCGAGCCCCATGGAGACACCAAGACACGACACCATTGCACAGACGCTGGTCTCCAACATGTCTTGTTTCTACGATCAGTACAATTACCTTTATCGGTGAGTTGAATAATGTGGTGTCTGGACTACCCTCATGGCTGGTTTGTAGGGATCACTGTGCAAGTGGTCATCGTGTTCATCGGGGGGACCACATTCTAGGTGACGCGTACTATTAGTGGAGGCTTCTGTGATGTCTCAAAGCGAAGGCACTCCGCATGTCAAACGCTCATGTCCTCAAAGCGAAGGCCCTCCGCATGTCAAACGCTCTCCAATACCCTGCCCTTTTGGTCGCAGCTCCCATGATCATTGAACCCATTGCACAGCCAGAGAAGGGCGCAAGGTACTGCAGGGGAGCAGCCTCTGAGGCGGTAGCAACAACAATGGTAGAGTACTCCATTGCGTCATTTTCCTCGAGGGTCTTGACAAGCTGAGCAACAGTCGAACACTTCTGGCCGACAGCGACGTAGACACAGTAGAGCTTTTTCTCCTCGTCCTTTACTATTAGCTGAGGCTTCTGTGATGTCTCAAAGCGAAGGCACTCCGCATGTCAAACGCTCTCCAACATCCTGCCCTTTTTGTCACAGCTCCCATGTTCATTGGGGGGACCGCATTCCAGGTGACGCATACTATTGGTGGAGTCTTCTGTGATTGTCCTCAAAGCGAAGGCACTCCGCATGTCAAACGCTCTCCAACACCCTGCCCTTTTTGTCACAGCTCCCATGTTCATCGGGGGGAGGGGGGGGGGGGCATTCCAGGTGTCGTGTACTATTGGTGGAGGGCTTCTGTGACATGTCCTCAAAGCGAAGGCACTCCGCATGTCAAACGCTCTACACTACCCTGCCCTTTTCCCGATCTGAATGGGTCACAGCTCCCATGTTCATCAAGGGGGCTGCATTTTTGGTGCGTAATATGCATGTTTGTTGTACTATCATTGCCTCATTACTTTTGGAAGGCTCTCACTGCTCACAACAATGCATATACCTCGTGCTTCAAGTGGCGCCTTCACAGGCTCTTATGCTAAGGTAAGTTTGACTATAACTTTCATGCCGCACACACCTCTGAAGCTCAGACTTGTACGCTCCAATTACCCTGCCAGTTCTACACCATCTCACGATGCCGGCCAGTACTACCAACCTCCGTAGCTGAAAGACATGCACCCATAGCCATCCTCGGCCTATGCTACCATGTTTAGTAGTGGGCTGCATGCGCCATTTCCACAATAGGTCCGGGCGTACTTCCCACATGCGATCCCAGCATGAATCACAAAATTTACCACTACCACACCATTCATCCGCCAGTTTCAGTAGTTCTTCCCCGCCTACTAGTCGCAAGCGCAGTTCATCGTCATCGGCGTCTCAATCTGGCCCTAGACGTCCCTTATCTGATTCAAGTTTAACATATTGTTCACGCAGCCTAAGCAAATCAGAGGGAGCTCCTGACAGTCACGCTCCAAGTCAGGATAGTAGCGCTCATGATTTCAAGGTGGCGTTCAATCCACCTGAGGATGTCATGGAGGATGGTCATGGCAGCGGTCATGATTTTGACATGGAATATGATGTATCACATCATGGTGGTGCCTTTGAGGATCAGCTTTCTGCTGAGCCGCAGGCAGGCCCTACAAGTGGCTCGGATGCAGAAGCAAATCAGTCTCCTAGGAGCAGCGCTAGTTCTAACAGCCAAGCTCCGAGTCGAGATCACATCCAGGCTCAAGAGGCTCCTCAAGCAACTACTAGATCATATCATCCCATCATTAACGGTACATGTTATTTATGCTCATACAATTTGTGCTCATACTCCCCCCCCACGAAGGGAGAATCTGCGATGATAAAGGGAATTTTATACCCTCGGACGCTCCACCACCTCCACACCCATCAGATCGCGGATCTGACGACTGGACGCCATACAACGATCGTGTTGAGTTCGAAGTTGCCGATTTCATGTACCATCGAAACCAAATGTCTGCAGGCGACATTGATTCATTTTCAATCTGTGGGCAGCTTCTTTAGCAGCTCACGGTGATACCCCACCATTCATGAACCACACCGACATGTACAACACTATCGATTCAACTCCTCTTGGTGGTGTTCCCTGGCAAAGCTTCAGCTCACAGTACAACAGAATTTTACCTGACGACTTGGATGATGTTCCGTCATGGATGAAGTCTGAGTACGATGTATGGTTCCGAGACCCTCGGCTCCTGGTGCACAACATCGTATCGAACCCGGATTTCAAGGATGAATTCGACTATATGCCACTACAGGAGTATAGTGTTAGTGATGGAACACATCAATTCCAGGACTTTATGTCCGGTGACTGGTGTTGGAAACAGGCCGTAAGCATTCAAGTTGCTCACTCACTCTTCGAGTTATTTGTCTCACTTCAATGATTTACTGCAGGACTTAATCGCACAAGACCCGGATACAATAGGGTCAATGTCCGTCCCTATTATCCTTGGAAGCGACAAAACGACAGTCTCTGTTGCCACCAGCCATAATCAATATTGGCCGGTCTACATGTCCATTGGCAACATCCGCAACAATGTGCGGCGTGCACACCGCAATGGTGTTGTACTACTTGGCTTCTTAGCCATTCCGAAAAGTACGTACTCTCTACTAATTGTGTGCGCTGCTGTTACTAGTAGTGTGGTACTGATCAAAATAGCTGATAACGAAGCCACTAAGGATGCGCACTTCCGAAAGTTCCGACGCCAACTTCTACACTCGTCACTTGCGAAAATGCTCGAAACACTCGAGCCTGGAATGACTAAACCAGAGGTGCTCCGTTGCCCTGATGGCCATTTCCGACGAGCTGTGTATGGTCTTGGACCGTACATAGCTGACTACCCCGAGCAAGCGCTGCTTGCGTGTATAATACAAAATTGGTGTCCTAAGTACGTGTTTGTCTTATTCTTCGTGTCACTATGCTAAGTAGGACTATGGTGCTATTTACTATTACTACTCACACCTGCAGATGCACCGCACCAGCAGACAATCTCGATGAAGGCACATATGGCCGACGTTCCCGCGATCACACCGAGGTATTGGTTGAGGAGTTTGAACTAGGCGTTCTGTGGGATGAGTACGGCCTCATTGGAGACATCGTAGTGAGTACGATATTTTACTATCTACTTGTCTCTTTCCCATTTACACACCTTACACTATTTATACAGCCATTCACTAATTACTTTCCACGTGCCGATATACACGAGCTCCTTTCACCAGACATCTTACACCAGCTCATCAAGGGAGCATTCAAGGACCACCTAGTTAAATGGGTACACGACTACATCGAGGCTCGATATATGGAAGCCAATGCGAACAAGATACTAGACGACATTGACCGTCGGTAAGTTTATCTTCAAATTTGCTCGGTTACTGCTGCTGAATATGTGTAATCCTACTAGCATTGCTCTAGCTCCAACGTTCGCAGGCCTTCGACGATTTCCAGAGGGTAGAGGGTTCAAACAGTGGACTGGTGACGACTCGAAAGCACTTATGAAGGTCTGTACTGATATTCTGTTATTTTTCATAGCAACAGTGCTACTAGTACTAATATTTCTAACGCGCATTTACTGCACAGGTCTACATACCTGCTATTGAGGGTCATGTACCCACAGAAATGGTACAGGCTTTGCGAGCATTACTCGACTTCATCTACATCACTCGCCGCAACATCATCAACTCAAAGAGCCTCGACGCGATGGATGACGCCTTGGAGCGTTTTCACAGATACCACAAGATATTCCAAACGTCCGGTGTTCGACCTAAAGGGTTTAATCTCCCTCGACAACATTCACTAATCCATTACCATAAGCTCATTCGAGCGTTTGGCGCGCCAAATGGGCTTTGTTCATCGATTACAGAGTCCAAGCACATTAAAGCCGTCAAAGAGCCATGGCGCCGTTCAAATCGTTTCGATGCTCTCAGCCAGATGCTACTTACCAATCAATGTATTGACAAGCTAGCTGCTTCACGCGTTGATTTTGTTGACCGCGGGATGCTACAAGGGACATGTTTGTCATACATCCTCAACAAACTTGGTATGTAATTGTCATGATGCTGAGTTCACCAACACTAATCACCACCTTCACAATTCATAGGGATACTAAACACTCCATTGGCAGCACCCATTGAACAAGATATCCCGGACCAGGACGAGCCTTTTGGACGCTACCATCACGCAACTACTGATGATGCTGGAGGCAATGCAGACGAAGATGAGGGTAACGCCGACACTGAGCCCGACGCTGATGCTGTTGCCGGGCCAACGGTACTTGCCCATGTTGACCTGGCGAAGACAGCTGGTAAGTAGTTTTGTGCATGCTTGCATCATGCTTCCACTCACCATACACTTTACTACAGCCAAACGACTTTACCCGGAGCTCATTGCAGATCAGATAGGTCAACCCAACTTCACGACTTTGATTCAGTATTTTCTGCACGACCAATGTTGCTCTGACACCAATTCATCTAGCTCTGACTCATCCCGGTCAGCACTTCCTGAGATCTACGAAAAGATCACACTGTACACTTCAGCTGTGGCGACCTTCTTTGCTCCTAGTGATCTATCGGGGATCGGCGGTATGCGCTATGAGCGTATTCGTGCTGTAGATAGCTGGAGAAATGGCCCTGGACGCTATGATTGTGTCTTTGTTAGCACTGATTCGTCTGCTGAAGGCATGCGCGGCTTCGACATTGCTTGAGTGAGACTATTTTTTTCTTTGAAGCATGATGGTATCACATACCCTTGTGCACTTGTACAGTGGTTCAAACATGTGGCAGACTCCCCAGATGAAATTACGGGAATGTGGGTTATAGAGCCGGAGCTTCTCGAAGATGGAACACGCTGTGTGTCTGTCATCCACCTTGATAGTATTTTTCGTGCGGCCCACCTTATACCAGTATTTGGGGGTGACTTTGTGCCAACCAATCTCGCTTACTCGCAGACACTCAATGCTTTTCGCACTATGTCAACAATTACATTGATCATCATGCTTATGAGATCGCATTTTGACTTAATCTTAGTACTATACTTATTAGAATATTCTTTAGCTGAAATCAACTTATGTTTTACGCTTAGTAATGATGATCTGAGTGGAGTCTACTACTTAGTAGGTCTCAGATTTCACTTATTATCACCTTCCTACTTATATATTCTGAATACACTTGATTCGTAGCATTGGCTTAATTTCTTTCTTGTGTTTCGTTTGAGTAGGTCTCAAATTTCACTTATTTTCACCTGCCTACTTATATATTCTGAATACACTTGATTCGTAGCATTAGCTTTATTTCTTTCTTGTGTTTCCTTTGTAAACAATTCTCTAAGTAGAAATTAAGTAAAAATGATCTTCTTAGATTACTTGGTGCACTTAATATCGTTTCAAGTAACAATAAGGAAGATAAGATGGCTAAGAAAATTTATGATTTTGCTGATGTATATGCTGCTTATATATGCATATATCGTTTACTTAGACTTATCATAGATGAATTCAGTCATCAGTGCGACACATTCAGATGATGCGGCTCGTTTGAAGTCGCAAATTGGACACTATGTGGCGCCAATTCCATCTGATGGTGGTTTAAAACCCGCCATCTACAATGGTAACCCCTCGCGATTGCATTTGGGTGTGAACCACCCTGTATTAGCATCCTTTCTTTGTCCTGTTTCACAGCTCACAGAATTCACGCGAGATCCAGCTGAGTACATATCAATTTATATAGTGTGTGCATGCTGAGATTCGCATTTCGCAGGGGCCAGAAAAAACTTGCCAGCAGAGGAATCCTCATGACTGCCAATGACTTCCCCGCATTCCTCTGGTCTGGAAATCCCCCTGGATGTGACTATGATGACGAGGCTATGACTGAAAGCCTATTCCAGGGCTATCTTATCGAACACATAAGTTTTTCTCAAGTATGGCTATCAATCTCACCAAGAACCTGTCTAGGTATTGCGGCATATATTTACAGGCCCATCAACTGCCTTAGGTCAAGATTCGCGGGCTACACGCACTTGCAATGCCACACTACACGATATGACAAATGTCAAAGCGGAGCATATCGCTTACGCTTGTGTACAAGTAAGTCCTGTTTGATTCACAAACATTCTTTCTCAATTTTCAATTTTCAGGCACATTTCGGAATCAGCGTGCAGAATAAGTGGTCGGACATCGACGGCAAGTTCAAATACCCGGAGTTTTATTACAACATTATCGACTTTATTCGTGATTGTGGATATACCAACTGGGTGCAAGAACTAAAGAAGTGGTGGAATGTGTACGTGTTTTTTTTAATCATTTGACTATCCTGACAATCTTGTTTCTGTAAGGACGCTCTTCAAGAATGAGGATGGCAGAGAAGGCGGATCAGAAGGTAATGATCGTGGAAGGAGTTCCTCGGGTTCCATGGATAGCCTGGCGAGAATGCGAGCACAGGTTGCCGCGCGCTCTACCACTGCTAAATCCTCTGCAGCCCCTGAGGTCCCTGTTCCTCCTCCGCCGCCTGCTCATCCAATTACTACTCCTCCTCCAAGTTCTCCAGCTCTGAACTCTGCTGAACCTCATATTACTTCTCCACTTCCGCCTGCCATTGCTTGTCGTCTATCAGCTGCGAAAATGGCCTCCAGTTCACGCAAGTCACCTGTGTTAAGCAACTTAACGGATGACGATGACACACTCGATGACATCACCAATGGAACGTCGAAACATTGGGCCCGGCCTGAGGCCCTGAGGCCCTTTGGGCCGAGCCTTCATAGGCCTGGCCTGTGAGTTGGAGAGGCCCGAGCCCGGGGCTCAGGCCCGGGCTTCCCAGTTTGGAAACACCTGTACAGTTTATGCGCCACTGGTGAGTGATTCTTTGTGCAACTCTACCAGCAGAACACGACGGTACCGTACTGATGCCTCCCACAGTGATCTCTGATGACGACACACCTGCCACTGTCACCGTGCGAGCCAAGCGCACTATCATTCCATCATCTCGCCTTACCGACTCTAACAACAGCACAACACCAGAACTCCGCAGCCACAAAAACATTCAACAGACTCTCCAACCTACGGCTATCAGCAACTCGCTTGGCACCAACCCAAGAAATACTGGCAAGCGCAATTTGACGAATGCAGACTGGACTCCTTCCTTGACAGAAGACTTAGTGGAGTTGTCCAGTGAAGGAGACGAAGCCGCGGGCCACAAAGGTATGTTGCAGCCTCTGCATTTGTATACTTACTCTTCAATTCTATAGGCAAACACCTTCGTCGGGCTCACGATCCGTCGTTTACGGATGACACCCGTTCTTCTGCATCTCTTGTTGATGATGCAGAAGAAACTCCAAGTACTCACAACACGACGCCTGCAGCCACGGACGATTTTTTGTCCGACATCGACGTACAGGACATATCAATGACACCTGTACTTCGACGTGAGGAGAGGAGCTGCGATGTCAGTGCGTTTTTCGGCAAACCCTATGCACACAAGGTCAAGGACGGGAAAACACGTTCAGTCCGAGACTGTGAGTCGTGCAAGTAAGTGCATATTCTTTTCTCACTATCTCCACTGACAGAGTCGCAGAACAAAAGGATACCCATGCCAGATCGTTAGCGACACATCAACATGTCGACGCCATATTGCATTCCGGCATTCAGTAAGTTGGTTTTTCGTTCTGATTCTTGACACTCTAACATTTACTACAGAATAATTATCGCCAATGGTGCAAGACTAATAACTTCGAATTGATGTTGCCTGAAGATATCAAGGAACGAAAAACAGCGGTAGCTATTGTGAATGTGCAGCAAACGAGTCTCGACGGCCATCTGCAAGAAAATCCTTCTACTGACATTGTTGTCCCGTACACGAACACAATCTTTCGTGAAGCCGCTATTGAGTGGTTGATTTCCACTAGCCAGGTAGGTGTTGATTTATTGTATTCGCAGTGATTTTTGATTATTTTGCAGCCTATTCAAGCAATTGATCACCCGGCCTTCCAGAAGATGATTGCTGTAGCAGCTCGTGCTACGAGCGGTGTCGTTCTGCCGAATTGTAACGCTACACGCGGCGAAATCATGAATTTATTCAAGAAGCAGATGACGAAGTTAAAAGAATGTCTCAATGTAAGTTTTCCCTTGTACTATTTTACACTAATGTTTTGTACTGATGTTGCAAACAGAGCAAGTTTGTGTCTGGTGCTGTCAACCTGACATGTGATGCATGGCAGGCCAGTAATGCAGATGGCTATTTTGCTGCTACGGGCCACTGGATCGAGGAAACATCACCCGGTGTCTGGCACCTCGAATGTGCCGTCCTCGGATTCACGCAACCGAATAACTCCCACAATGGCCAACGTCTTGGGCAGGCTTTGTTCAAGATAGTGGATCGAGTGGGCATTGCTCATAAGGTAAGGTGTTAAGGTGTTAAAATCTTGGTGCGGTGCTCACGTGGGTATTAGATTGGCCACATTACATGTGACAATGCCTTGAATAATGACACAATGCTTGATGAATTGGCACGTCGGATAAAGCAAGGGACCGGGACAACATGGATCCCAAAAAAGCGACGCATCAGGTATAGTTGTGTTGATTTGTTTCGTAATTCTACTAAGATGGAACTTGAAGGTGCCTGGCTCACGTTATTCACCTTGCGACACGAGCTGTCATTTCTTCATATAGCAATGCCCTGTACTATAATCCTGAGCACCCTGATTTGTCTATCCCTCAAGCCCATGGTTGTCGAGATGAAATTGGTCTCGTGCGAGCCATTGCAGTCAAGGTTCGTCATTTTCTTTAATTATTTGACTATCATTTGAGCAGCTATATATCAGGCACGATCCTCGGCTCAACGAAAGCAACTCTGGAAGGACATCCAGACCCGTGCACCTAACCCAAGCCCTGTTGTCTCGCAACTGTTACTTGACATGCCAATCTGATGGTCCTCGACTTGTGTAATGCTTGACCATGCTGAGAAAAAGAGACCTGTATGTATGATAATATAAATGACGAGTTGAAACTAACTACTGTTCTTTAGTATGTTGATACTTTTGTCTACGAGCTTGGCCTTCGTGAGGCAAACCTTGTGAAACGAGCCAAAATCGATCAATTGAAGCTCCGTGAGGATGAGTGGGCTCGTATTGCTTTATTTACATCTCTCCTAGCCGTGAGTATTAAGTTCCCCTCGTAACCTAAGCTGATCATTACTTTAGCATGCTGACAAAGCTCAGCAAAGTTTCTCATCTGATAGGGGGGCATCCCTTCACCTTGCTTTGCCAGCTCTCGAGGCCTTACACAAGGCCTGGCTGACACGTTCCGAGAATCCCAAGTACGAGTCATTTCGTCAAGCCCTACAAGGAGGTATTGCAAAGATCCACGAGTATTATGACCGAAGTTCAGAGTGTGATGCATACATTATTTCGATGTGTAGGTGATCAGTGGCTCGTAGTAATGTTGATATTCACTGTATTTAGTGCTCGACCCATCCCAGAAGGACTCTCACATCAAACGTTTTTGGGGTAAGGCCACACATGCAAAGGCTCTCAAGGAAGCCGAACGAATGGTGGGTCTTCTGTTTCAAGATATTCCAGTGATATATGCTTACATCTAGACTAGTTTAAGGACGAGTTTATTAAGTTGTATGGCGAGCATGGTGTTCCGTCCTCACCAAAAAAGAAGTCTGGTAAGATACATGGACTTCTTCGAGAGCTCTCTAGTGATGATGAGAGTGGTGATGAGGAACCGGAAGAGTCGGAAGTGGATCCTCAGCTGCCATGGTTAAGAGAGTTCCACCTCTACCTTAACTCACCTACTCTCGTTCCCAATAACATGTCTATCATTCAGTGGTGGGGGGTAAGGTATCATTTTATGTCAACTGAATTGTTGCTAATCTAGCTTAATGTTATAGGTGAATGCTCATCAGTATCCTGTATGGGCATCCCTCGCCCATGATCATTTGTCTATCATGGCTACTTCGGTTTCGAGTGAGCGAGCTTTTTCTGCTGCAGCTCTGACTGTCACGAAGCATCGTAACCACTTGAAGGGTGATGTTGTGGAGGTGATTCAGGTGCTTTGCATGATGTACCAACATGATTTGATCTTCCGAGAGGCTCCTACTTCGACTTTAGAGTTAGCATCAGAGGGACTGGATGATGGCGAGGTGGAGGACATTTCAGATGTATCAGACATTGAGTCTTGAGTCTTAGTAATTGTCTAGTAGTGAAATATATGTTTTCACACATTTTTAACTTGTGAGCCCTGGCCCAGGCCCGAGCCAAGCCCAAGCCAGGCCCAAGCCCTCCTAAAGGGCCTGGCCTGAGTTTTTTCCAGGCCCGAGCCAGGGCTTTCAGGCCAAGCCAGGCCCGATGCATCACTAGTCAAAACAACCGCCAGCCGCCAAAACTCACTCAAAGAGCAAGGGTAAGGGTAAGCAAAGGCGCATCGAGGATTCAGAAGATGAGGAAGATCAGCGGAAAGTAAAATGTGCAAAGAGAACATGCAGGAGGTAGACGGGTGAATATTTTTGTTGCATGGTACGTTCCTGTCGTCTTATTGGCCTAGTACTCATATCTTATTACAGGACTCCTTCACTGTTCCTTTCCACTCAGCATTCATACTTTCACGCTTTCTCTATGGTTCTCTGTTCAAGTGTTTCGTTTTCTCTTCACGACGCATGCCTTACTTCCGGCTCCCGCCCGATAGATGAGTGGACTCATTGCATTGACTCGCGTTTTGTACATTACAGTGTATTACAAGTTCTTGTTGCTTCGTATAGATTGATAATACATTGCATTGCATGAATATATCGGAGTGATACACAATATCTGAACTATCTACGTGATGAACAATTTCTGAACTATCTACACGATGAACAAAGTCGCAAGCTGAAGTATGACGTAGACGCATATGTTGATCGAACTTCGCGTTCCCTAGGATGGCAATACAT